AGGAGAAGGTAGAAATGACTCAGCCTGTAACTGAAAATATGGATGGAGGACAACAGAGCTGCTTCATGGAAGAAGAACCTCAGCTTAGCCTGTTTCACATAATCTGAGAACATTCTTCTCCATGAACAGCAGAAAGGATGAAGATTATGCAGCAGATGCTTTAAAAGTTGATGTATAAAAGCTTTAAATTTGTTATAATATATTATCAGTATGTTAACCTGAACTGTTGTTTTGTAAAAGATTGATTTATTGTTGTGTAAAATGTTGTAATGATGTGAAATGAAGGAAAGACATAATAGTGCTAGTGGAGAGGAGGAGTGAATGAAGGAGATGATGATTTCTGTGTGATTACAGAAGATGATTAAGTGTTTTAAGCATAATCATGTTATAAACTTAATATAAACAAAAGTTTTATAATATAATCAGTTGTTTTGAAACAAAGTTTAAGGAACAATGTTTTAAGTTGATACAGAGTTTGAATAAAAATTCAAATGAAAGGCAGCAGAAGGAAGAAAAAACTATTTTATCTGCGCCTTTTCTCCATCAAATACATTCAAACAACATAACAAAATAAAATAATGTTTAGGTAAGACTTATTTGTGTTTGGAGGAGTTCAGACCCTTGTACTTGTAGTGTGAAGCGCTTTGAGTATCCTGGATGGATAGAAAGGCGCTATACAAGTACAGTCCATTTACCATTTAAAGACAGAGAGATAGTGAAGGGGCATTCTTGATCTGGTAATAGACAGGTATAGGGGTGCTCCCTCGAGACAAAATGCATGTTAGCTTTCGCACTAGCGCCAACGCTATATCGCCATATATACGTATATCTATTAGCTCAGCGCTACACATTCTCCGCTTGTCACTGAGGTCCTCCATCCACATGACAGAGATGAAAATGTAGAAATGACTCAGCTTGCAACTGAAAATGTGGATGGGGGACCTCAGTTTAGTTTGTTAGCTTTAGCGCTAGCACCAAGCTAATACATTATTATGGCAATATAACGTCTGCGCTACTGTGAAAGCTAACACTTTACAATGTCAATAAAATGACTCCATCTGTATCGCAATATATGTTTTTTTTTAATCTATAAAACTAAACAGCCTACAGTGTTTTTACATTTAAAGTAAAAGTTTAACAAATAAAGTCTGTTACAAGTAATTGTGGATCACTTTAAAGAGACAATTGTAAAAATATGGGTGAGGAAGGTGTTTATGTTTACATTGGGGCACCGATTCTTTCTACATACAGCTTAAGAAATAAACAGAAGGCACTTTTTTAAAAACAAATGTGAATTATTTTTTTTTGATCCCTCACAGAACCTGGTCAAACAGCTGCCAGCACCAGATCAGCTGGCTATTCTTGCAGATATGAAAGATGAATACGATGATCTGGCTGAGTCTGAACAGTTCGGAGTTGTGGTAAGACAGCAAACACACTAGCGCAAAAAAATCTCAAAAAAATAGACAACAGTGTTTAGTTAAAGTTGGTAGATAATTAGGACAGTAAACACTTGGACACTGCGGAAAACAAGAACAAAAACATACTTTTTATTATTTGTCAAAAGATTCTTGGACTAAACGTGTGGTTACAGCTAAAACTTACAGCTGGAATCAGCTACAGATATTTAGTTTTTAATAAGTGAAAAAATAATAATAATAAAAAACCACACCTGTATGTGAAACCTCTTTAGTCCGTTGTTTCATTGCTTTAATCCCTTGTAAAAAGGCCCCTAAWTTTTTTTAGAAAGCCACTATATGTTTTGATTCTCCATCATATACATTAAAACTTAATGATAAATGATGCTGATTCTGGATCTGTTGTTTTATTTCCCAGGTAACTTTAGATCACCAGCCCTAAAGATTCTGAATGAAGTGTAAAAAAATGTGTGATTGTTTCTTTACAGCATCATTCTGTTGTTAAATAAAGCTGAGATTGTTCAACTGTGGTGGAAGTTGTGGATGAAATCCCCTTCACTCATTCACATGGCAATGCACCACGACAGGAAAGGCTTTAAAAATCCCCTCATCTTGTTTTTCCAGATGTCCAGCGTGAAGCGACTGATGCCACGGCTTCAGGCCATCCTGTTCAAGCTGCAGTTTGAGGAGCAGCTGAACAACATCAAGCCAGATGTTGTGTCTGTGACAGCAGCCTGCGAGGAGCTCAGGGAAAGTCAGAACTTTGCCAAACTACTGCAGATCATCCTTCTTGTTGGGAACTATATGAACTCTGGCTCCAGGAATGGAATGGCATTTGGCTTTTCCATATCATACCTGTGCAAGGTGAAGTGTGAACATGTGGTGCACAAAACAACATGAACAAATGTGCTTTTAACTTTTGACTATCTTGGCAGTATGTCATCTTGTAAAATAAATATAATTATATATCCTTTTAAATTGTTTTCTCATCAGCTGCGTGACACCAAATCAGCYGACCTAAAGCAGACGCTGCTCCATTTTCTTGCTGATGTGTGCCAGGAGCAGCATCCTGACGTCATGAGTTTTGCTGATGATCTTATTCATGTGGAAAAGGCCAGCAGAGGTAAATGTAACATTAGTTTAAATAAATTTTTGTACATAATATTGTCTATCTACTGTAGAATGCCTGGTTAAATATATTTTTGTCAATTTTTAATCTGGTTATTCTGCATACAAATATTTACTTTTAGAAAAAAACAAGTGTTCTGGCCAGAACTGGTTAAGACATAAGCTCATGAGTGGATTGCTCCATAGTTTACTAATGAAAATATGCAAAAATAATTGGAAAAAATACRTTTGATTTATCTTTTGTTTGATATTTTCCTGTGTGATGTCATGTCCATCTTGCACCTTGTTTCAGAACGTTAACTTTTTTTTCCCGTTTTTATGACAGTTTCTGCAGAAACAATTCAGAAGAATCTTGAACTGATGGGCCGTCAAATCAAGAACCTGGAGAAAGATCTGGAAACCTTCCCTCCTCCACAAAATGAAAATGACCACTTTGTGGAAAAAATGTCTATATCCTTCAATTCAACTACCTACTTTGATTGTATATTAACAAAATTAGTCTTTTTTTATTAACATTACAAGAGTTAAAAAATGTTTAAAATGCACTGATATGGGTTCTATGCACCTTAACAGTATGCCTTCACAGTTTTGTCAGTCTTGCAAAGGAACAGTACGAGAAGCTGGACTTGATGCATAAACATATGGAGAAACAATACACCGATCTGGGAGAATATTTTGTCTTTGACCCCAAGAAGATCTCAGTGGAGGAGTTCTTTGGAGACCTGAATAACTTTAAAAACATGTTCAAGGTGGGTGCTTGTGTTCAGACGAAACACAAAATCAAATGTGATCATGTTTTTAGTCTTTTGTGTTTAAATTTAAACAAAAAAATGAAACAGGGAAGATGTGCTAGTTGAAAGACAGGTCAAAYAATGAAACAAAGCAGCTGATTGAACACCTGCTGTTTGTGTTGATAGAACAAACAGAACAGAGTTGAATAATCATCGTCAGGTATATGTGTGATTATAGGGGTTAACTTGTTGAGCCTGCTGCAGGACGTAACCGCCAGTATTTRCTGTTAAAAGTTTTGTTTGCACATACAGACATCAATCAGATCCATTAAATATGGATTATTTTTTCCCTTTAGCATGACTTTAATCTATAYTTTCAACTACCTCTTAGACCTTCCTTCTTGCAATCTTATATTTTGTATTTTCATCATGTTTTTGCAGCAAGCGGTACAAGAGAATCAAAAGAGAAAGGAAGCTGAAGAGAAGATCAAGAGGGCCAAGCTGGCAAGAGAAAAAGCAGAAAAGGAGAAAGAGGAGAAACAGAAAAGGAGCCAATTTCCTGACATCACTGGAGGTCATAATTGCTGGATGAAATCTCATTTGTTTTTGTTTGTTTTGTTGTTGTTTTTTTAGCCTGTGAATGACTGAAAAAGATAAACACTCCACATTTGTCACTTTGTATTTCTTCCGCACTCCAGTTGGGGGCAGTCAGAGTCCACACTTCTCTGTAATAATTCTTTGTGTGAGRGTGAGAACATCAGTATTTCCACACATCAGTATTTATAGAGCAGAGTTAATCTAATGTTGATGACCTGAAGKGAGCTGCCAACAACCAAGCTTTACAGAAAGTGAGGAAAAAGAGACACACAAGAAACTGCTTGACCTCATTTCATGCTTCTGAAAATTAGGGTTTATTTATTTATTTTCATAGGCGATATGTGTGAGGGGAAGTCCATACATTTCTTTATCAGCAAATACATATTTCTAGTTGTACAGAGAATTGCCTGGAGCATGTTGTCCCRTCGAACACAAATCCATAACCGCTCTACATGCACATAGTCAGCACTCAAATCCTCTCTTGCAGACACACATTTATGCACAGACTTTTTTTTCTCCTTTCATTCGGTCTCTGACCTACTTTTCATGCATCCCTCCTTTTTTTTCTCTCTGGCTCCATTTGGGTTCTCCAGAGAGACTGCAGTTAAAGGTTTCTACAGTTTTGTGTGTATGTGATGTGTTTATATATATATATA